TAAAGGTCAGGTGTTCATCAGTCACAACACCTAGATTTCGAACCTGATGTATTAACATCAAGGAACTTTCTGCACTGTCCGTCATGTTTTGAGGTAGGTGTCTAACCCAAGACATACAGAATCAAGCACGGAGACGAGGTAAAAGAAGAACAATAATTTTATTTATATGTGGAGGTGAACTGAAGGCGTACTGGAGATCCAACGGGAGGACGAATCCGGAAGCGGTAACTAGGGGGAGACCAGAGGTGAGTGATGGGAGTTGTAGTTCAGAAGGAATGTTTGAAGGCAGAACTTAAGGTGAGGAAGTTCGGGATGAATGTGGAGGGGAGATGAGCCGGGGTGATACCCAGAGGAGACCTGTGATAGTCGGAGTGGGTGAGTGGAACGGACGAGGCGGAGGAGGACGAGGCAGTGGAGAGAGAGCGTGATCGGTGGAGAGCGGGACGGCTGGGTGGAGTAGGAATCCAGGCAACGAACTGGTGAATAATCCTTTGACTCGAAGACGGAAGAGGATCCAACGATGAGGTAAGTCTGTGGGTGAGTATCCAAACAGAAAAACGAGCTCAGGTTAAAACGAGTTTCAAAAATGAGATGAGATTCAAAATCACTGTGAGGCTAGGATCTACTAGGCAGTAGATAATCATCCGGCATCGAATGAGGATAACCGTACTCCTTTTAAAGCCACCCCGCTGATCAGTCTGATGCGGATCAGCTGCGCTCCTTCTCCTGCAGGTAAAAACTCAGAGATGATTAGATGACGTGCCGAGTACTCACCCCGGCTCATGACACTGTCTGTGAGGTATTGCTTGGCAATCATCCATGAGCGACCTAAGTAAGCGCCTGTTTTGTGTTGCGTCCTCCTGGATAATAAATATCAGCTGTGCAGTAATTCAGTCTGCGCGTCATCAATCTACCCCTTGACCCAGCCTATTGTGGCGAGTTTGAATAAGTTTTCAAATATACGCCACAATAACAGGGAAACAACACTTTATAATGATTTGACTCAGAGACAAAAATATAGTTTATAAAAATCTATTTATTACTATATTAATGATGACGAAAGGCTAATGATTATAAATGGTGACACAGTGATGTTAAATGAGACAATAAATGAACTCTGATGACCTGGTGTGTTTAAGAGTTTTCTAAGTGAATCAGAAAGGTGTGATGTCTGGTTTATGACATAATTGTGGATTTTTGTTGGATTTAATTTAACAAGTTCTCACATTTAAATCAACCACACTGACACCATTGTTTAGTCTACACACCCTGGATCATGGAAGCTCTGGACAGGGGCGTAGCACCAAATTCTGGGCCCGAGGTACAAGTCTTCTAGGTGGGCCCCCATGCTCAATTACTTAATATCTCTCTTACACGTTTTTTGTCATGCTATAAGACAAGATAATAAATATGATCTTAGTTTAACCTCTACATTGAGCAAATACAAATGCCAGCATAATAAAAGTGAAATGCCCAGACTTCACATATAATTATTTTTATTTGCCAACAATGTGTTCAAACAAAAATCCTGGAATTTATTTTCCAGTAAATGCCCACTGACGGGTCTTCATGTTAGCAAAATCACTTATGAGATCTTTAAAGTCCAATCCTTTGGCTAATTGGCTTTCAATAGAAAGAAGAGCTAGGCTGTTCAGTCTATCCTGGGACATTGTTGATCTCAAATAATTTTTCACCAGTTTCAGTTTGCTAAAAGCCCGTTCACCCCCAGCAACAGTCACAGGTAGTGTGCAAAATATCCTCAGTCCAAAACAAACTTCTCCAAAAATGCTCTGTAATTGCATCCTGTATAGATGGCATTAAGCAGCTCAAGAGGAGACCGAATGTGTGGAAATATGGCACCATATATTGTTCTCAGGTGTAGCATCTCATTCTCAAATTCAGCTGTGAGATCCTTGTAATATTTTCTCATCAGTGCCTGGCATGATATCTTCATCTGCTCTTCAGTCATGTCTGTCATGGTTCATGATGTTAAGCTTTGCTGATATATCTTGATATATTAAATACATATGACATGAAATAAACCAGGTTCTCTCTGTGAATGTAATGTACTCTAAATTTTATAATCCCTGCATTATCAGCCAAATTATAAGATTGTCCGTTTTCAAGATCAAATATAAAGAACTTTAAAATAGGCTTAAAATATCTAACCAAGTCAATAACAATCCTCTAACACCAGTGTCATCATGCTATACGAAAAACAGTGGCAGCTTCTCATTCCTGAGATTACCACGAATCCATCGATACCAAGTTTGTCCTGGTCCATGACTGGGAAGGAGCTGAAATATCCACACAGAGTGAACCTGTTTTTACTGCGAGGTCCGCAAATTAATTGGCGGCGGCCGCCCGCGATAATAATTCTGATTAATATATATATAAATATAAATATTAATTAGTGTTTTCACTGATAACACTAATATATATACGGTATGTATATATATATATATATATATATATATATATATATATATATATATATATATATTAATTAGTGTTTTCACTGATAACACTAATTAATTTATATTTGATCTTGATGGTGAAACTAAAGACGTTTAACACTGAACACCTAACATGAATGCAGCTTCTGAGAGCTAGCTAATATCAGCTAAAACTGTGTTCTGCTGCTGCTCACCTTCCTTCTTGAAAAACCTAGTCAATACTCGCTTCTGTTCAATTAACTTTTTCTCCTTCTTTTCTTTTCTGGAAGCCAGATTTCCCTTTCTTGGGAAAAGACATGACTGACTCTCCTGCCTCCAGCTCTGGCTGTCGGCACCTGCGATGTCTCATTAGCTGTACATGCGGCCGTGCAGCCCCTGGCCGCAGGTGTGGACTAAACCACTTTGCACATTTTTAAGGGGTGATAGATGCCTCAGAGATTATTCAGTTATTATTTTAAGGTGAAATTCTGTTTCTTAACCTCTTTATCCAGGTAAAGGGAAGTTTATTAAGACATTAAGTAAGTTGGGGGGAAAAAACAACAACAATAAAACATTTTTATTCAAAGCTGTCTCAGGGCCCCTCCCTGCAGTGGGCCCTGGGTAAACGGTACCCTACCCCCCCCAGTCCGACGCCCCTGGCTCTGGAGATCCGGTCTGCAGGTGAAGCCGTCTCTCAGAGCGAGTGAGTGGACTTCTGTATCTGAAGATCGTAGACACCCTCAGCATACGCACGACTGGTCAGAAGATACTTCCCAGGTGGCTTCTGGTGGACGGTTTCATGTCTGATGAGTGGGTGGTGGGTTGAGCCAATAATAATTGTTGATTCAATTCAATTTAAGTTTATTTATAAAACGCCAAATCACAACAAGAGTCGTGTCAAGGCACTTCACATAGTAAACATTCCAATACCGGTCAGGTCATTACGCCAATCAGTAAAAACTTTCCTAATTCAAAAGGATGGTTTATATGCTGCAAAAATTATTCCACTGAAAAATCTGGTTTGGTTCCATGTAGGATGGTCCTTCAGCATGAGCTGTGTGCTTTTGCTGAACTCTGAGCTCTGGCTGAACTGGGAAAATAGGAAGTGAGTTCACTTTAGATGGTTATTTATAAACTTTGACCAATCAGATCTGAGAAATGTGTATAGGTGTTTACCAAAACCCTCAGACACTCCTCTTTCTGTGATGCTAAGCTTGACGCGTCCGCGAGGTCCGCACGGCTCCGCGCGGAAAAGTTGCGTCATTTTGCATCATTTTAACAACCACGCCCCTCCACCGATCCTCCGCACGGCCCAGAATTTCTGCAACGCGCACCTCGGAAAATTTCTAACCACGCGGACAGACAGACGCGGAAAAACATGGCGGACCGGCAAGAACTAGTATGGCAGAGGTTCGTAAATACAGACATTTGTATGATTCAGCTCTCAGAGATCACCGTGATCAACATGTTGTTAATAATTCTTGGAGAGAAATAGCTCGCACTGTCGGAAAAGACGAGGACGCTGTTAAAAATGCTGGAATGCCATGTTGTAAACAGTGATTTCTACTTCTACTATGGTGTAGTGTTGGATGCATGCCGTAGAGCTCCATGCTGCCCCCTACAGTTTGGGAGAATATTGGCTCACGGCAGAGACAAGCCGCATGAACCATAAACGCTGCGAGTTGTGAAGCGCGTTCCAGCCGCGAGCCGCATCACCGCGCGGAAAGTGAATGCGCCAAGCATAAACCAAGCTTTAGCAAGCTTATTTCACTTAATATATGGAGTAAGTCTGTTAAACATTCATTTGTTAATACACTGATATTATGTGAATGTAACTGATAATTAATTGATCATTAAATCATCAAATAGACTCATTTAGTGCACATAAGATCTGAAATAAGTCATGAAATGATAATTATTTGTGTAGATTAAAAAATTAATTAATTATTTATTAAATCACTTTAGATAGAACATTCATTGTAGATCATTGTAATTATCATCAACTTGTGAAGAATAAATTAATGAGACAAAATAAGATAAATATTATTAAAAAGGCAAAAGTCTCATCTTCTACGTGAGACCTTGGGGTTGCAGCCGGATGCCAATAGTGGCAGAAGAGAAGTCAGGAGATGGAATTGTTATGACTACCTTCTGAAGAGACAAGGTTAGAACCAGTGTGTTTTCTGCTTTGGAGACCAGACAGTTAAGATGTGGCACACTGATGAAGCACACAATACTCCAAACAGATGAAACCGGCCGGACACTTATGTGTAATGATCTCTGACCTTACAGTGGACTAATAACTTTGTTAGCCTTTCCCAAAGTTAAAGCAGCAAGCTAGAGGGAAGTGATGTTTGGAAATGTGAGATATCCCAGGAAGGCCCCACCTTCCTCGCTTCTGACTGGCTGTTGGCAGCTAAGTGCAGACTGTCCTGCCACCAGTAGATCCCATGCAGAGTGATCATTCCAGTAAACATCTACTTTAGTAAATACAACTTTTGTGACATCTGTTGGAAGAAAAACAGCAAACAGAAATCTTCTAGAAAGTTTGAAAGGACAACTTTATTTCATTCAATGTAACAATTTGTAAGTGGTTACTTTTAATAAACTGTCAATAGAATATGAAGATATTCAATAAAATGTAACATTCCTCAAAATATGGATTATCAATATTATTGAGCCTTTAATATTCCATTGATGTTGAAACTAAGTACTTCGGTTTATCCAGAGAAACAACACTTTATAGTAATTTTACACAGAGACAAAAAACAGTTGATAAAATACATTTATTACTATGCTTCTACTGCTAGGACGCAGTACAAATGATTATGCGTGATGAGTCAACCGAACGTTTCATGTCGTTTCTCTGATGGAGTTTTGCAAAGAAAAGGAAGGTTCCTCACGCGGTGCAGACCAGTTGGCCTAACTGGACAGCACGAGAGCTGAATATTTGAGGAAGTTCTCTTTTTATAAAACTAGTTGTTTACAATTTTAGACTAACCAGAATCTAGAACGCGTAACAGTGGGCGTTATCAAAATCCCTCAGACATCACCTCCTTCCACAAACACTTAGAGAAGGCTCAAATGTGAAGTAAACCTCTTAAACAGTCATTTATAAGTATAGTAACATTAATATGTGAATATACTGATTATAAACCATGGTTAAATTCAACACGTAGAGTCATTTAAGATCTGGAATAAAGCAATAAACAAATATGGTGATTCATTCATTACTGTGAAGCTGTCAGGGCATTATTAAATCACGTTAAACAGAATCTGATTGTAAATAAATTGTAAAGTTAGGAAATCATTTTATGACACAAAATAATATGTTTTATTAAAAGTGAGTTAGATAAAAGTCTTGTCTCCTGTAAGAGGACATTAGCCCGATGGGTCAGAAGATATTCCATTATCGATTATCATGGTCGGTGTCCCACTGGTGAAGCAGGCCGTTACATTACTGATGCTCTCCACTTCCTGTTCTCTCCTCTCCTGCAGCGTTAGATGGTCGCACCTGGATCAGGATCGTCCTCCATCGTTCAGAAGGTGTAGGGTTTCAGCACAGTGGACAGCTCCGGAGTCGCCTCCTCCCGGTTTCCGGTGCCTCCGCTTGAGAGCCCTCCCCCTCCCGCGGGTTCCCTGCTGCTTTGTCGCGGACCGCCGGAGTTCAGGCCCGAACAGCAACAGCTGGTCCAACAACATCTGGACTTCTAATTCGGATAGAGTTGGTTGGGCCCTCTGGTGGAACACCAGCATCTGGAATCAGCAGGACTCTTCTCTTCTCTGGGTTTGTCACCGAATCGGATCGGAACCATCTTTGGACTCTTGGTTGAAGCTTCGCTGCAACTCCAGTCTCCGGACCCAGCAGCATGTTGGATCCGTCTTCCAGCGAGGATGAAGGAGGTGAGATGGTGGAGCTCAAAGAGGTGACGGTCCCCAAGAACCCCGGAGGGGCACGGCCGACACCGGGCCGAACCGCCAACAGCCGCGGCGGCGGAAGGCTTCAGCCCCGGGGACACAGCAGACCTTCCAGCCCCAGCCCGTCGGTGGGCAGCGACAAGGAGAAGGAGGACCTGGAGAAGATGCAGCGAGAGGAGGAGGAGAAGAAGAAGAGACTCCAGCTGTACGTGTTCGTGATGCGCTGCATCGCGTATCCGTTTAACGCGAAGCAGCCAACCGACATGGCCCGGAGGCAGCAGAAGGTAAACACACCCCTCACACCAACTGTTGCTTCCCCGCGCACCGAGTCTCCGCTGGCTCAGGGTGGGGTCAGGGTTCGGTTCGGTCATGACAGCCCAGGGTTCACATAAACGGGCGGAACATGTAAAAGGAGCAGGGAGAGCGGGGACGGTCATTTCACTGCGTGATGGGGGGGGGGGGGGGGGGGGGGGGGGGGCGGCAACAGGCCAAACCCGACTCCATCTTTGTGTCTTTACTCTACTGACTACAGGTGGAATCAACAGGTAGCACCACCAGAGAGAGAGAAGGGGTGGCTGGAAACAGAGAGAGAGAGAGAGAGAGAGAGAGAGAGAGAGAGAGAGGGGGGGGGGGGGAGGCTGCAGAGAGAGAGAGAGAGAGAGGGGGGGGGGGGGCTGCAGAGAGAGAGACAGAGAGAGAGAGGGAGAAAGAGGAGGTTGGAGACAAGAGGGGGGGGGGGACGACTGGGGACAGAGAGCGACGGGGGGGGGGGGGGGGGGGGGGGGTCTGGACACACACACACACACACACACACACACACACACACACACACACACACACACACAGAGAGAGAGAGAGAGAGAGAGAGAGAGAGAGAGAGAGCTTCCTGTTGTTTCCACCCATCCCATCATCCGGCCAGCCGCTAAAAGGGGCGTTTTTCTTTGTAAACGGGAATGCTCACTCCAAAACGGGACCGCCCCCTTCTTGTTATTCGCCCCTGACATGTTTCTTCACCTCCGATATTTGAAAATAAGATATTTTTAATTTAGGAGATTAAAGATCTGTGATCAGTTAAAGAGAGTGCAAGCAGACGTAATATTACTACAAGAGACTCATAGATCTGCCACATCTGCAGATGAACTTAAAACACCTGAGTTTCCCAGCATGTTCTCTTCCTGCTTTAACTCTAGGCAAAGAGGTGTAGCTATTTTAATACACAAAAACATCAATTTCACAGTACTGGACACAGTTTCAGATCCAGAGGGTAGATTTATAATGTTAAAAATATCTGTACAGAACCAACGCTTATGTAAACGTTAACTCGTGCAGCGTAGAGGAAACGTGTTAAATACGTCAACACGGTGGATTTAATAGAAGCTTTAAAGAACAAACTCTGGACGGTGTGAGGTGAGTTTGTCTCACTGCAGAAATAAAAACACACACGGAGCGTCAGCAGTCAGACGCAGCCGCTTGGGCGTCAGAAGGCTGAATAAAGTCATCATGCTAGAGAAGTTTCACACCAGCTTCTGCCACAATAAACAATAATAATAATAATAATAAATCACACACAACGTTTAATTTCCTTTCTGAACTATTTCTGTTGAGTTTTAATGTTTAAACCTGTTAGCTTGTTACTGACAGCAGCTACGTTTGAGTTTCACTTCCTGTTGTGACTGAACGCTGCTGCAGCATGGAGGTGTGGTTCTCAGTCATCCTGGACATGATCATCCTGAGAGTTTTAGCTGGAAACAGCTGCACGTTTCTGGATATGTTGGAGACATTTAGCCTCTCATCCCAGAGGCTGCTTCCAGACTTTGGTTGTGGTCAGAAACAAACACACTGGTTGTGCTGCAAGTCGTCTTCTTTTTGTCTCCAAAACATGTTTTTGTCTGAATGAAGGTGATGTTGTTGTTCATAGAGTTAAAATTCATGTTGAAGTTAAGATTATTTCATCAAGTAGGACCTGTGGTTAGCTGGCTCGTGTAAAACATGGAATGTCTTGAAAGAATCGGAATCGGGACTCGATAGGAACCGGAATCGAAACAAGGAATTGGAATCGGAATCGTTCAAACTCAAACGAAGCCCAACCCTAGTGGTTGCATCAGCTGGCATAGGCCAGACAATGCCCGCACTGCCTGTTCACCACAGCCATGGAATACACCTCATCAACACGCACTAACACTGTATTGGAGCAGGCGGAGGGAGGCTGGGGTCTTAGCACACCTTTGTTGCTGCTTGGCTTCCTGGGGCTGGAGGCTAGGAGGGAGATCTGGCCGTCTGGTTGGGGTCTGGGATGGTGGGATTCTTTGCTCGGCGTTGGGCAAGGGAGCCTGCTTATCATCACCCCCAGCAGAAAGGGGCAAACTTTGGGAAACGGTGATGGTTGTACCCCGGCCCGCCGGGGACCCAGCACCCCGGGTGGTTGCCCCTGGGTCCCGGGTCGCTGGTTTTGACCCCCCGAGGCAATCCTCTGCTCCTTTTGTGAGGGGGCGGGGGCTTTTCTGGATACACTCTCCCTGGGGTCCCTGCGCTCTGGGGCAGCTCCTGGATCTCTTGGACTTGGAGCTCCCTCCATCCTACTCATCTTTAGGGGGCGGATCTGTGGCCCCTCACACTCTCTATTGGACGCTCCTATAGAGAAACCTTACATAAACAAGCGCGTGTACACACACAGGTGCTCACATGGTGCTCTCATAAGTATGGACTTGGGCACGTTCAACACATGTCTTAAGGCTGTGGTTGGCACTAAATGCACTGTGATTAATCATCGTGTGATTGATCAGTTAAACAATGTTGATTTTATATTTCCTCATCAGGTTGACGCAGTGATAGCTCGCTCCTGATGTATTGTTGTGTGTTGTTTTTCTCTTTCTGCAGGTCTAGAAGCAGACCCTTGTTCATCATTGATTGTTTATTTTTGTGTTTATGTACAAATTAATTCAACTGTAAAAACAGGCGAGAACTTACAGGGCTGTATGGGTCTTAGAAAATAAACACCCTAACCCACATACAGAAATATTCTTCATGTTGACATTAAGCCCATATGAACTCATTAAGTTGTTATTATGTTAACATCTTCTCCGTTTCATGTCTTCCTCAGATAAGTAAGCTGCAGCTGCAGATGGTCAAAGATCGTTTCCAGGCATTCCTCAGTGGAGAAACTCAGATTGTTGCTGATGAGGCTTTCATCAATGCTGTCCAGAGCTACCATGAAGTGAGTTCCTTCTCTTCAATCATACACTGCTAACAGAATAAAGGGAACACAAAAAGAAGACATCCTGCATCCGAATGAATGCAAGATTTTTATTAAATACTTTGTTGTTGTTCAAGCAACCAACACAACTACTAGCCTAGCATGGCAGCTGCGTGTTTTGACCCCTCGGGAGACGGGAGCGTGCGGCTACCTGCGTGTAGCAGCTGTTCCTGGCCGAGTGACAGGAGAGGCTGGGCGCCCGCCTTGCTGGACTGCTTCCACAAGGATGAAGCAGCAGAACTGCAAATGTGTGATGGCAGGGCCGCTGCTGTTAAAAGAGTAGGCACGCTATCGAAACCTCTGCAGCGGTGACCTTGCACATCTTTGAATGCAGTGGACCAGTGAAGCCCCAAAGTCTCTGCTAGCTTCCCTCAGTCAGCTTCTCTAGTGTAACGTGATGTAAGTGGTTACTTTTAATAAATGATCAATAAGATGTGATATTCCAAATGAATATGAATTATAAATATTATTAATCTTTTGCTATTTGATCTACGATGAAACCAGGTCTTTTTGGTAGTCCAGAGGAACCACACCTTCATAATAATGTGAGACTGAGGCAAGAATCTAGTTTATAAAAATCTATTTATTACTATATTTCTACTACTGAGGATGACACAGAACACATGATGATGAATGATGGTTGAAACAAGATAACTGAGACAATGAGATGATGGATGTAAGCTTGGATGTTATGTAGCAAACCTGATAAAGTGTCTTGGAAACTCATGATATCTGGGTTTCAAAATCAGTCTGACTGTGGTTCAACAAACTATCAGTAGATAAAACCATCCCACACTGGTTGTGCAGAGTGTACAAACATAGTGATGAAGGCTCCTGGCCTCCCAGAGGCCGGAGAAGTCGGTACAGACAGGCTTCAGATGGAGTTGACTTCTGTGGTATCCGAAGCACGTAGGTCCACCTCAATTACAGAACCGCTGGTCTGAGATACCTTCAGGGTGACTGCTGGTGGTCAGATGAAGTTTTGCATCTGATGGAACTTTGTAGTTCTGCAAAGAAGGCTTGACTTTGAAGGATGGTTCTTAAATGCTTTACTGACTCAGCTTGGTTGGGCTGAGCAGACGGCAGAAATGACCATTGAGGAAGTGTCAACTCTTTTTTAATAACTGTTGTTTATCAATTTAGACAAGCCAGACTCTAGAACGTGTAATAGCGGGCGTCATCAAAATAGCTCCCTTAATGTGGAGTGAAAATGTTAACACTGATAATAATAGACCATTATTAATGTGTGAACACACTGATAAATAAATCATTATTAAATTCAACAAGTCGACTCATTGGGTATAATGGCTTTTTATTTACTTCATTTATTAAATGAAATAAGCTTTCTAAGCGTCCTTTTGTAAACTCCTATACGCATTTCTCAGATCTGGTTGGTCCAAAGTTTATAAACAAAGAGAGATCACTTTGTATATTCTCTAGTTCAACCAAAGCTCCAACTTATGCTAACTTACCATCCTTTGGGAGATTAAACCAAGTCTTTCAGTGGAATAATTTTAGCAGCACAAAGAATAAATTATTATTTACTCAATCTACAACCAATTCATCAGACATAAAACCGTCCGCCAGAACCATCCGTGTGTCTCGGTGCACCCGTGGTCCAGTGGGGTCTGGTGAGGTTGCGTCCTTCAGCAGCAGTCGTCGACCATCCTCAGCACCTGTCGGCAGGTCAAGTCACCATTTCACGCTGGACAAACCTGAGAAACGTAAACTGTGTGGAGTCATCTGTAAAGGTCCCAAATAGAAACCTCACATCCATTTTGCTCTGGGTCAGATGTTTCTATCATGTCTTGTTCACTTTGGGAAAGCCTCCACTTGGCTGCGGCTGACCAGGGTCGTACCTTGACATTCACACCCTGCAACGTGGGCATAGACCTTGTGCTCCGGCTTCAACGATCTTGTGTCTTTCCTCGACCTTTCCATCAGTCGCATGGCAGTGCATCATCCCGTGTTTGTGTCTGACCTTGAGTCTTTCCTTTCCTGTTTGACAAAGACCTGATCAACCACTTTGAGCACATTATTGACCTCTTAAGGTTGAAGCTCTGGACTCGGTTGTCTCAACTTTGCGATATGTGATGCGGCTAAGCCTTCTCTTTAGCGGCTCTATGACCCTAGGCCCTCATCAGGGATCGCCCTTAAGGATTGTCCAGGACAGTTGATGACTAACTACCATCTGGTCACTCGTCAGTTGACCAGATGCTAGGGACAGCAGTAGCTCAGGAGGTAGAGCGGGTTGCCCAGTAATCAGAAGGTTGCAGGTTCGATCCTGGCTCTTACTAGAGAATTATGCTGATGTGTCTTTGGGCAAGACTCTTAACCCGCCTCGCCTGCTGGTGGTGGTCGGAGGGACCGGTGGCACCAGTGTACAGCAGCCTCTTCTCTGTCAGTGCTCCCCAGAGCAGCTGTGGCTACATCATAGCTCTTCCCTACCAGTGTATGAATGTGTGTGTGAATGGGTGAACAACTGTGTTGTGAAGCACCTTGGGGTGGGGGTGGGGGTTGTAGAACCCTAAAGCTTGGTTTATGCTTGACGCATTCACTTTCCGCGCGGTGATGCGGCTCGCGGCTGGAACGCGCTTCACAACTCGCAGCGTTTATGGTTTGTGCGGCTCGTCTCTGCGGCGAGCCAATATTCTCCCAAACTGTAGGGGGCAGCATGGAGCTCTACGGCATGCATCCAACACTACACCATAGTAGAAGTAGAAATCACTGTTTACAACACGGCATTCCAGCATTTTTAACAGCGTCCTCGTCTTTTCCGACAGTGCGAGCTATTTCTCTCCAAGAATTATTAACAACATGTTGATCACGGTGATCTCTGAGAGCTGAATCATACAAATGTCTGTATTTACCAACCTCTGCCATACTAGTTCTTGCCGGTCCGCCATGTTTTTCCGCGTCCGTCCGTCCGCGTGGTTAGAAATTTTCCGAGGTGCGCGTTGCGGAAATCTTGGGCCGTGCGGAGACGCGGTGGAGGGGCGTGGTTGTTAAAATGACGCAAAATGACGCAACTTTTCCGCGCGGAGCCATGCGGACCTCGCGGACGCGTCAAGCATAAACCAACCTTAAGAAGGCGCTATACAAATACCTGCCTTTTACCCAAAAGGTGTTTGTTTAATTTGACCCGGAGAAGGCCTGCATTTGGAAACTACTGAATTGCTTCGGTGCCCTTTCTGGAACTGGTACCAACCGGTCTTGTACTATGATGTGGCAGTCTGAAGCCGAGATCACTCACAAGTTACTCCAGATACAGAAGTTCAATGTTACCAGTTTGGAGCTTTCTGGTGCCAACCGTAGGTAGAAATGTTTCTTACCTGGTCTCTTTTCCATTGCCAGTGCAATACTATCTTTAACTTAATAATAATAATAATAATAATAATAATAATAATAATAATAATAATAATAAGAATAATAGTATTAATAATAATAATAATGCATTTCATTTAAAAGCACCTTTCAAGGAACACAAGGACACTTTACAGCAATAAAACCAACAACAAAAACCAAGTTAAAAACAGCAAAAAAAAAAACACACACAGAAGCCTTAGAAATACAAACTAGATAATAAAATCCGTGAAGATGGAAAAGGTGACACTAGCAGTAAGCAGTCTGAAACAGGTGGGTTTAGAGTCTAGATTTAAAGGTGGAGAGCGAGTGATAGAGGATGATGATCTGAGGGAATGGATGGGAGACATAATATGAATGAAGTCAGACAGGTATGGGGGGAAAGGTTATGGATAGCCTTAAAGGTGAGGAGAAGGATTTTAAAAGCAATGCATTGTTTTACAGGTAGCCAGTGAAGCTGTTGCAGGACAGGGCTGATTATGGATGGAAAGTAGGCAGTTTGAGTGATATCATTGATGTGGGATTGTAATGAAAGAGTGCTGTCAAGTAGGGCTGCAACAAACGATTATTTGGATAATCGATGAATCAGATGGGGTCTCGACACGATTAATCGGATTACATGGGGACACTCCTCCTTGAACCGTCACCTTATCGTGGTGGAGGAGTTTGAGTGCCCTAATGATCCTAGGAGCTATGTTGTCTGGGGCACTTAGTGCCCCTGGTAGGGTCTCCCATGACAAATTGGTCTTAGGTGAAGGGTGAGACAAAGAACGGTTCGAAGGATCTTTCATGGCGGTTAAAACGAAGAGTCGGAGTACCCGGCCCGGAGGGTTACCGGGATCCCACCCTGGAGCCAGGCCTGGGGTTGGGGCCCGTGAGCGAGCGCCTGGTGGCCGGGCTTTCGCCCATGGGGCCCGGCCAGGCCCAGCCCGAACCGGATACATGGGCTCGTCCAACTGTGGACCCACCACCCGCAGGAGGAACATGAAGGGTCCGGTGCAATGCGAATCGGGTGGCAGACCAAGGCGGGAGCCTTGGCGGTCCAATCCCCGGACAAGAAAACTAGTTTTTGGGACATGGAACGTCACCTCGCTGGCGGGGAAGGAGCCGGAGCTTGTGGCAGAGGTTGAGCGGTACCGGCTAGATATAGTCGGACTCACCTCGACACATTGCATTGGCTCTGGAACCCGAGACCTGGAGAGGGGTTGGACACTCTACTTTGCTGGAGTTGCTCCGGGTGAGAGGCGGAGAGCTGGGGTTGGCTTTTTGTTAGCCCCGAGACTCTCTGCCTGTGTGTTGGGGTTTACCCCGGGGGACAAGAGGGTAGCTTCCTTGCGCCTTCGGGTCGGGGAACGGGTCCTGACTGTTGTTTGTGCTTATGGGCCAAATATCAGTTCAGAGTACCCACCCTTTCTGGAGTCCCTGGGACGAGTGCTAGATAGTGCTCCATCAGGGGACTCCATTGTCCTGCTGGGGGACTTCAATGCTCACGTGGGCAATGACAGCTTGACCTGGAGGGGTGTGATTGGGAGGAACGGCCCACCTAATCTGAACTCGAGCGGTGTTTTGTTATTGGACTTCTGTGCAAGCCGCAGTTT